GACCTCAGCAGACCTTATCCTCTAGATAGCCTCTGTGGCCTACAGCCTTTGACACCAGCCATCTGACCTGCAGGGGCTGGGTGACTGCATGGCACACATGGAGGCCACCAACGACAACCCTATGGCAACCCGAGCTGCCACAACCACCACTCCAGATCAGCAGACCTCCCAACTTTAACAAACGGCATTACACATTGATAACAGAGGCTGAAGCCAAAATTGCCAACTGTGGGGCCTACCGGAAGTCCTCAGCACATCTTAAGAAACTGCTGACCCTTATATTTAATAAGCTTCTGCAATGTACTGCAGACACACAGATCAGATTAGTGTGAGCCCACAGAGTGCTGAAGCCCAAAGACCAGTCAAACATACTGGTTGTATGTTGTTTCTACCCTACATGCCCTAGTGGGGACTAACCACTTACTGATACAACATAGTGGCTGGATTTCATGGACCTGTGCTGCCTACCTAGGATGGTGGGCCCGGGGGTGTGTGGGGGGCCCCCCCAACTGCTTTTGCTGTTAGGGATTGCTTTTGTGTATGTCAGAGGATTTTATTTATTTTTCCTTCTTTATTTGTTAGCCGGTATGTTGTTATAACCAGGAGCTGTCAGATGCCATTACAAATATTTGTCAGGAGTGGGGAGGTAGGGAACTGATTGGCCCCATGGGGATTTTGGTGGATTCTTTGTCTGTTGCAGTTTTCTCCCAGATGCATGCACGGGGCAGTTGCCTCAGGACATGTTTTTGTCTGCAGTGTTCAGGCCCCTTGGGTTACTCGCTGGGTCATTTTATTTTGCACTGTTTACACAATCAGGTTCATTAAGCCCCTTGCCACTTGACTCCTGCTGCCTTAATACTTCGCCCATAATAAAGGGCCAAGTATCCTGGGACTGGACTTAACTTCTGAGTGACTGATTTCCACCATCCAATGCAGGGAGAAATGAAAGGGGGGGGGGGGAGGGGGGAAGAGAGAAATAAGCTGACCTATCGTAAGCTGGGTACTTTATCTTATGCTTACATTATCATCAGTGCCATCAGGGGGTTGGGTCATACTCTCCACATGAGTCACACCATTGGTTCTTCTGCCCTTCTCTCTTATAGTTCTCTTTAGTCCCTATCATTATACCGTATATGATGGGGTGGTTATTTGCACATTCCCTGGTTAGTAATTTGTTTATCAAGGGTAATGTGTTTTTAGCATGTACATATGTATATAGTGGATATTGTGTCCATGTAATATTATTTGTGATATACACTGTTTTTTACATTGTATTCTATCTACACATTCATTTTAGGTATTGGGTTTCTCGTGTTCACTTGTGATGTTTGCAAACTTGTAATTACTGCCTTCTTACTTGCATTGAACTATTACTATATATTTCCCTTATTTCCCCTGCCTGACTAGAGGATTTATTCTGCTCTTTTTGTTACTTACAGCTGATTTTTCTCTCTATCAGCGTGTCATGTATTCATCTGCACATAAAAATGTGATTAATGTCATTTACTGTCCTGACAGGAAAAGTTGCGCCGAGCCGCAATCAATCCACAGGAGGGTTTGTGCTGAGCAGCAATCATGCAAATAGGAACCTGGTAACTGCCTTTGGGGTCAAAGGCCAGTTACAACCAATCAGATCCACAGGCAGGGTATTTACGCCCAGTTCTCCTCTTGCTTTGTGCCCTGTCGTGGTTTCCCTTGTGGTTGTCCGAGAGCGCGTTATTGATTCTATTTTTTCTGGTTATTTGACTTTGGCATTGTTTTTGACTTCCATGTTTCCTGGCATCCCTGACCCCTGGCTTTTCCTTACCGTTGTGTCTCTTTCTGTATCTCTTGACCTCGGCTATTTCGGACTATTCTTTGGTACGTTAGCCTGGCCATTCTAAGGTCTGGTATATGTTACCTATCAGTCCTCTGTGTTACACAATTCTACGTGCTGGATCATACTGTAATCTTGACACAGCGTTTGCTCTGTAAATCTCTATGTTTATTTTCTATTACCTAGCAACCTGACGTAATCATGCGCAACGTTCCGAATGACGTCACCACACATCACGTTATTACCGCGGCATGCCAGGAGATGTGGCAAGATGGTGATTGGACGCCTGGAGTCTTTCTTAATTTTTGGCTGAGTGGGGTGGCTTCTTTTCAAATAATTTTTATTAAAGTTTTATAAAATTTTCAACAAATTATACAAACATTATATTACGGGTAGGAGAGGAAAAGGGAACTTGGAAGTGGGAAGGGGTATCCATCCATTGTATTAACAAACACAATATTGTATATGACAGAAATTGTACAATAAAACAATTTAACAATAAATGATTTTTTTTCAAACTATAGACTCTTTTCATTATTTCTTCCCATTTATCCCAATCATATTTAGTTTTGAAGAGAAGAAAAGAATGCGTATTGCTACTATGCGAGAGTTTGTGTGCTTTGTTATCTAGTGTCAAGTTCAGAACTTCTCTAAGTGATGGTGTGTTTGCAGACTTCCAATAACTTGGTAAGTATGAAGTAGCAGCAATGAGGATGTGGCCTATTATTATTTTATCAGTTCTGTTAACGGACTCAGGGAATTTTTTGAATAACACGAGCCCTAAAGTTAAAATACCAATAGTTCTATCCACTTTAACAATTAAATCGTGAATCATTCTCCAGTATCTTGCGATTTTGGGACAATACCACCATTTATTAGCCATATTTCCCAAACCCCCGCAGTCCCTCCAACACCGGTCATAATACATGTTATTCATATTGTGTAATCTAGACAGAGCCAGGTACCATTGATACAAAATTTTGTAGTGGTTTTCGAAATGGTCAGTGCAAAAAGAAATTCAAAAACGGAACCATTCCTCAGGCTCGTATTGTGTACCTAGCTCCGTCTCCCAGGATACAATATGTTTAAACTTGACTATTCGTTTGGTATTGTATAGCGAATAACACATAGATATTGTGCCCATTCTGTCTCGATCATGTAAGAATATTTTTTCTAGTGGTGTTATCTCTGGTGATTTATAAATTTTGTCCATTTCCGGTACGTTATATAATTCTTTAAACTTTTCAATGATCAACATGCATTCTTCTTTACAATTATTCGTTAATCCATATTTAAGCTTTAATTTTTCAAATGAAAGGATGGAATTTCCGTGTATAAACTATCTACGTTTGTTATAGGGTATTTTTTCAATAAATCTAGATTCAAAGAAAGTATATGATCTTTCAACAATTCCATTGGCATTGCTCTATACTCTCTCACAGTATGGTTATTATTAGAGTTGAGCGGACACCTGGATGTTCGGGTCCGGCGGTTTCGCCTGAACTTTAAAAAAAAGTCCGGGTTCGGGCTTGAACTTGACCCTGAACCAATGGGGACCCGAACTTTTGGCCACAAAAATGCCTCTAAAAACCTCCTGGTAAGAGCTAGAGAGCTGCAAAAGCAAGTAAAATGGGGGTAAGAGTAGGACAAGTGCCCTACAAACAAATGTGGATAGGGAAATCACTTAAAACTAGAAAAGCTACAATTTCTGGGGAAATTGTGTGAAGTGTTCTTGCCTCCACCAGTAGTCTACAACTGGAGTGGGCGGAGTAACTGTTATCATTTATATAGCACATTTAATTGCAACTTTGTTGCACAGTTACATTAAACCATACATTTATAAAAAACATTAGCAGGTGTTCAAAAGGCCCTGTCTATGACATCACTTGCTGCTGCAGCCTGGCACAGGTCAGAGTATTTTGGCGGTTGCCATCTTCAAACTGTGGGAGGAGTTAGGTGGCAAATTTGGCTATAATAAGAATAATAATATATATGTGAGATAACAATAAGTGGTCTTGCTATGCAAGAACACTTAATAATATATATGTGAGATAACAATAAGTGGTCTTGCTATGCAAGAACACTTAATAATAATAATATATATGTGAGATAACATTAAGTGGTCTTGCTATGCAAGAACACTTAATAACATAAAAATTAAAAATACAGCTGAGCCATAAAATAGCACTGGATGGAATCTTTGATTTTAGCTTTGAAGAACATAAATCAAAATCTAAAGCATGGCTGTCAGGAGGATCACCAGAATTATACATTTGAGAGAGGGTTGGAGTGCAGGGTATTCTCTTTCATTGTTCAAACTGAGCTCAACTCCTGGTGCATGGAGAAAAGGCCTTCACAAGCCTCTGCTACTGTGTACATAGTTTATACTAAGTGGGGTCGAGGAGGCGGTGACCGTGGAAGTGTAGGTGGAAGCGGCGGTGGAAGAGGAGGAGGTAGCCAACACTGTTTGTTTTTTTGTTGTTTGTTTTTTGTAATTGGGGTAGCCCCCAAAATATTGGGACATATAAAAATAGAAACAATTGCGACCTGCGGTGCATTTCTTGCAGTCCTGATGCATGGAGAAATGCTCAACTCCTGATGCATAGGGAAAAGGCCTTTACAAGCCTCTGCTAATGTGTACATAGTTTATACTAAGTGGCCCATAGGTTGAGGAGGCGGTGACCGTGGCGGTGGAGGAGGAGGATGAGGTAGCCAACACTGTTTTTTACATATATATTTTTTATTTTAATTGTGGTAGCCCCCAAAATATTGGGACATATAAAAATAGAAACAATTGCGGCCTGCGGTGCATTTCTTGTAGTCTTGATGCATGGAGAAATGCTCAACTCCTGATGCATGGAGAAAAGGCCTTCACAAGCCTCTGCTAATGTGTACCTAGTTTATACTAAGTGACCCATAGGTTGAGGAGGCGGTGACCGTGGTGGTGTAGATGGAAGCAGCGGTGGAGGAGGAGGATGAGGTAGCCAACACTGTTTTTTATGGTTTTTGTTTTTTATTGTGGTAGCCCACAAAATATTGGGACATACAAAAAAAGAAACATTTGCGGCCTGCGGTGCATTTCTTGCAGTCCTGATGCATGGAGAAATGCTCAACTCCTGATGCATGGAGAAAAGGCCTTCACAAGCCTCCGCTAATGTGTACCTAGTTTATACTAAGTGACCCATAGGTTGAGGAGGCAGTGACTATGGCGGTGGAGGAGGATGAGGTAGCCAACACTATTATATATATATATATATATATATATATATATATATATTTTTTATTGGGGTAGCCCCCAAAAATATTGGGACATATAAAAAAAAGACAACTCTGTTCCGCAGAGTAGCTGTTGACATTATAGTTGCGCAGGAACTTTGCCAGTTTCTGCGTCTACCATGGTGACCACGGGTAACGGGGAATCAGGGTTCCATTCCTTACAGGGACGCTGAGAAACGGCTACCACATGCAAGGAAGGCAGCAGGCGCGCAAATGACCCACTCCCGACGCGGGAAGGTAGTGAAGACAAATAACAATACAGGACTCGTTAGAGGCCCTGTAATTGTAATGAGTCCACTTGAAATCCTTTAACTCTGATCAATTGGAGGGAAGTCTGGTGCAGAGCCACTGACCCGTGCGTGCTGCAGCTGAAACTCCACTATCGACTGCTGCTGCTTGCACAGTCTCATGAGGCGGTGAGCGGGAAGGCCCGTAGTTACGCTGCAGCGCAGACAGGCGAGCAGCAGCAGGGTGAGAACGCCAAAAGCGCGCACAGCCACTACAGTGAATGCCAAGTTACGGATCAATCTGGTGATGGCTTTTGGAATCCAGTACTCTTTTTACTGAAGCTGTATCATGGTCCTGGTATGTGGCCGCACAAACGCTGGTGCTCAACACCAGGGGGCATGTGGTTACCCTGCACCGGACCCTGCTAATCCATTCCACACTGTGACTCCTAGATTCAACATCAGGCATACTGGGTCCTGGTCACCGGACTGCCCACCTGACTGTAAAACTATGAATGGATCGTTATATCTCGTATGAACCCGAACTTTGCAGTTCGGGTTCGCTCAACTCTATTATGGATCCTTTGATCGCTACATGTATTACTTGGATAACTGGTAATTCTCGAGCTAATACATGCCGACGAGCGCTAGGGGACGGCCGCCCCGCTTTTGCACCCTGCTCCCTCTTATGCTATGCTGGTGCCTCTGTGCGATCAGCGCCTCTTCCTCCAAACTGCACACGTCACTCGCATGACCTTGATTCTATGTGGGGTCTAGGACCTCATCATCCTCCACATCATCTTCCACCCACTCTTCAACCCTGCCCTCCTTACCGGTATGAACACTGCAGAAAGCCACAGCCGTTGGCACCTGTGTTTTTCCAGCATGTAAAGTCTGCAAAGGACATGTGGAAATTGTTTTAGAATTTCCTCCAGGCAACAGTTTTCCCTATAAACTGACCTCTCAGTTTGACTTGTGAGGGTATTGCCCCAGAATTACAATATTGTTGAAGTACCTCTTAGCTGTTGATCACTGGTTTAAATATAGCAGCTTGTTATCTGGTAGTTTCTGGTTTAGAAAATATCAATCACTTTGATCTGTGTAACAAGTGTTGTAGGTGTGAAACAATATTACAAGTGACTGATGTAGTAAATTCGAATAAAAGTTACGCTTCGATTTAATTCTCAGATAAAAAGTGAACACCCCAAATATACTATTTAGCGCCAAAAAATTGAAAAAAGAAAAAAAGTGACCTTTTCAAACTCCAATGTAAGCAGCAGATTAGCAACAAAACAATTAGAATGTTTACAACTGCGCAGTAAGCGCACTATTTGATGCTTCTAGTTGATTCTCAGATATGAAGTGCACTGCAGGCCGCAAATTGTACTATTTAGCAGATTAGCAGCAAAACAATTAGAATGTTTACAACTGCGCTGTAACTGCAGTATTAGATGCTTCTATTTGACTCTCAGATATGAAGAGCAGACCACAAAATGTACTATTTAGCAGATTAACACCCAAAAAATAAAAATGTTTACCACTGCACTGTAAGCACACTATTAGATGCTTTGATTTGACTCTCAGATATGAAGTGCACTAAAATACTATTTAGCAGTTTAGGGCCCAAATTGTTTTTTAAGTTTTAAAACTGTAATGTGACAGCAGTATCTGACGCTTCTATTTGACTCTCAGATATGAAGTGCACCCCACTAATGTACTACCCCACTAATGTACTATTTTCTACCCAAAAAAATGTGCTTTTTAAAACTCCGATGTAACCGCGGTATTTGAAGCTTCTATTTGACTCTCAGACAGTGGCGTACATACCAGGGTCGCAGGGGTCGCGGCTGCGACCATGCCCGGCCCACCGTGCAATCTGGTATGTACCCACCAGGGGGCCCGGCCGCCCCTGCAACCCGGTATGTACCCACTGGGGCCAGCCTCTTCTCCTGGGGTGCCCAGGAGCCGGCCACCTCAGGGCCCCCGAGGCTGGCCCTGCTGTCACCCCGGTCCTACGGGCGCGCAAGGGAGCACTCTCCCCTGACTGCTTCCTCCTTTTTCAGCTCCCTCGCGCGCCGCGTACTGATACCAGAGCCGGAAGATGACGTCATCTTCCAGTGCCGGCATCTCTACGCGGCACGCGAGGGAGCTAAAGAGGAAGCACTCAGGGGAGAGTGCTCCCTCACGCGCCTGCCAGCCTGCCCACCCGCCCAGTGACCGGCCGCCCAGGAGCCCAGCAGCACCACTGGACCCCAGGGAATCCCCTCAGCACTCCAAAAGGTAAGGAGGCTGTGGGATTAAATTTAAAAAAAACATGTGTTAATGTGAGTGTTAGTGTGTGTGTTAGTGAGAGTGTTAGTGTTAGTGTGTGTGTTAGTGTCAGTGTGTGTTAATGTGTGTGTTAGTGTGAGTGTTAGTGTGTGTGTGTGTGTTAGTGTGTGTATTAGTGTGAGTGTTAGAGTGAGTGTGTCTGTTGAGTGTGTGTCTGCTAGTGAGTGTCAGTGAATGTGTTACTGTGTGTGTCTGTTACTGAGTGTGTTTGTGTGTGTGTTAGTGAGTCTGTTTGATGTCTGTTAGTGAGTGTGTGTTTGTCAGTGAGAGTGTATGTTTTGTAAGTGAGTGTGTATGTACGTCTGTCGCTGAGTGTGTCTCTTTCAGTAAATGTGTGTGTCTGTTAGCTAGTGTGTATGCATCTGTTTGTGAGAGTGTGTGTGTGTCTTCAGCACTTACCTTTCTCCAGCGCCGGACTCCCTTGGCGCTGGGGATCCCTCCGCCTCTCAGCTCCAAAACCGCCCATAGGAAAGCATTACTCAATGCTTTCCTATGGACGTTCAGTGTCTTAGAATCGCGGAAGCTCCTCTAGCGGCTGTCAGTGAGACAGCCACTAGAGGCTGGATTATCCCTCAGTGAAACATAGCAGTTTCTTTAAAACTGCTATGTTTTCAGCTGCAGGGTAAAAACTAGAGGGACCTGACACCCAGACCACTTCGTTGAGCTGATGTGATCTGGGTGTCTGTAGTGGTCCTTTAAGTGTGTGTGCATCTGCATGCACTGGCGTACATACCGCGGTCGCAGGGGTCGCAGCCCTGAAACCCCTGCGACCAGGTGCCCGCCACCATGAGTTGCTGCCCCGGCCCGCGCAGAGTAAGTGTGGGAGGAAGGGGGCCCACGGATCAATTTTCGCACCGGGGTCCCATGGGTCATGTGTACGCCACTGCTCTCAGATATGAAGTGCACCCCACTAATGTACTAGTTTGCAGAATTATTTCCAAAGCTGTCCCTATCAGCGGCAGCATCCTCTCCCTACACTTATAAGACCACATGTGCGTGCGGTGCTATGTGACTCCAGCTTATATATACAGGCTGGGTCACATGCTGCATTGGCCAGCATGTGATGGCTTCTAAGGGCACACGAGTCAAACGCTTGTTGATTGGCTGCCCTGCAGCATTTCAAAACGCGCCATTAAATCGCCGAACACCGAACTCCCACCCGAACATACAGTGATATGTCCATGTTCGGGTCCGGGGTCCAAAAAACCTAATGTTCGGTACGAACCCAAACTTTTCAGTTCGGGTTCGCTCAACTCTAGGTATTATATTTAAAAACAATGTCAGAGTGTTTTTTGTTGCTAAAAATAATTTAGTGACTACAGGCTTTTTTTAAGGAAACAACCAAGGTAATTCCATAAGTCTAAATGGGATATTTTTTTACTCTTCTATTTCCATCCATTTTGATTTATTTGATTGAATGTTAAAACTCACGACCGCTGCAGCATTAGTAGCAAAATAGTATTTGCCGATATCCGGTACACAGATACCGCCATTAGATTTGTGGTGTTGCAGGGAAGTAAGTTTTATCCTGCTAGGTTTGTTCCTCCAAATAAATTTTAACATTACCGAATGTATTTTGTTAAAAAAAAGATAATGGAATAGATAGAGGTATGGCTCCATCCCGCACCATCTCTCCATCTCTTTTTTTAGGTCCGACCATGCTTTCCTCAAATTATGACTATGCATTTTTAATAAGTTTTTGCACAAATTAATGCCTAGACATTCTAGATATTCATTTCTCCAATCAAATAAATACATTCTCTTAATGGTGGTGATTTCTGAATGATTTATGTGGAATGGGAGGGCCTGAGTTTTGGACTCATTTAATTTATAATCTGATACTTCTCCAAACCGAAGTAAAATATCTAAGATATTTTAAGGATTTGTTTTGGATTTTTAATTGCCAAGATAATAATCAGCAAATAAGCCAGTTTTGTGAGCCGATCCTTTTATGTTTAATCCTTCAATTTCTAGGATCATTCTAATCAATTCAGCCAAGGGTTCCATAGCGAATACAAATAATATTGGTGGTAAATGGCAACCCTGTCTCATCCCATAAGTGAGTGAAAAAGTTTGGGATTTAAAACCAGAAGCTGAGACGTGGGCTGTAGGGGCACTGTATAGTGCCCTTATTACATTAACAAAGGATAATGCGATATTAAATCTGCTTAATGTTCTCCATAAGTAGCCTCAGTGTATTCTGTCGAATGCCTTCTCTGCATCCAATGAAAGAAACAAAGAAGGCGTTTTGGTCAAATTAATGTGCTGACTCAAATAAATCTCCTAGTTCCATCAGGTGCCTGTCTATTCTGTACAAAACCCACTTGGTCATTATAAATTGGGATTAATTTAGTTAACCTGTTTTCTAGAACTTTAGAGTAAATTTTTGAGTCATTATTAATCAGAGAAATGGGCCTAAAATTATGACACCTATTTAGCATTTTTCCCGGCTTTGGCAAGGTGAATATTTGTGCACACAAGGACTCCCTTAGGCATCTTCCCCTTGGACTTATAGGAGTTGAACAATTTCGTCATATGGGGAATTAAAATTTCTGAAAAGGTTTTAGAATATGGAATAGTGAATCCATCAGGACCAGGGGCCTTTCCAGGTGGCATATGTTTGATTGCCTCAGCTATCTCTTCAGCTGATATATCACAGTAATGATGTTACAAAGTTTTGGAGTCCAGTAGCCAGATCAGCAATGTTTTCTGCCAGAGGTAGCCACTCGTTACCCAGGTGGTTGAGCCCCTGAGCCTTGAGTGGTCGTCTGGTCTTAAGCAGAGATGAGAGACTGGAACAGAAAGATGATAATCTTAAGCCGA